CGCCGCCCTCTCTGTCGCGGCTCGGCCGCCTGCTCTCACGCTGCCCCGCCCCGCTCCTTCGCGCCCCGCCGCCTGCTCGTCGCGCGCGGCCCCGCCCCGGCTTCTACGCGGCCCCGCCCCGGCTTTCACGCGGCCCCGCCGACGGCTTCGTCGCGGCCCCGCCCAGGGCCCTTACGCGTCTCCGCCGCCTGCTCTCAACCTCGGGCCCCGCCCCGGCTCCTTCGCGCCCCCCGCCGCCTGCTCTCACGCGGCCCCGCCCCGGCTTCTACGCGGCCCCGCCCCGGCTTTCACGCGGCCCCGCCGACGGCTTCGTCGCGGCCCCGCCCAGGCCCTTACGCGGCCCCGCCGCCTGCCCCCGTCGCGGCCCGGTCTCCTCCTGACGGCTCCTGCCGTCCCCCTTCTACCGGCCCCGCAACTGCATCTGCTGGCCCCGCCGCTGCACCTACCGGCCCCCCACCACCCACCCCCCCTTTTCCCGTCGCCTGTCGAGGCGACCTGAGGGGGGCCGCTTGCACGCCGCACCATTACCTTGACTCAGTCACACATGGTGCAGCAGGTCCGAGAGGCCAGCAGAGGGGTGGCAGGTGTGTGGCCTCCCCTGCTTCTCCTCCTCCTTCATCTCCCACTGCAGCAGCCGAGCCGCTCACCTGCAGCAGCCGAGCCGCCCCACAGCCGAGCCGCCGGGTCGCTTAGCTTCTGAGCTGCAGTTGCTGCTGAGCCGCCTTGCCGCCGAGCCGCCCGAGTCGCCCGAGCCGCCGAGCCGCCGAGCTGCCGAGCCGCTGAGTCGCCGAGCCTACTCTTCCCACCACTGGTGAGCTCTTGCCCTGCTAGCACACTGCGCGTCGCCTGCTTGCCTGCCTGCCTGCCTTTTGGCTTGCCTGGCTGCCTGCCTCCCTGCTGCTAGTCCTGCTCCTGCTTCTACTTGCGGAGCCAAATGCAGCCCCAGCGACGCCGGCGTGAGTCCCTCACGCCCCAGCAGCTGCGTGAGTGGTACGCTGGTTGGGGCTGTAGGGGTGGCGACGCTACTCCTACTACCACTCCTGCTGCTTCTACTCGTGGTGGCGGCCAGATGCAGCTCCCGCGACCCTCTCCCGTGTCTCTCACGCCTCGCCAGCTTCGTGAGTGGTACGCTCAGAGTGGAGGGTCTCTCAGTGCTGTTCGCTGCTCGTACGTGATTCGCACTGGTACTCGGACTGGTCAGCCTTGTGGGACACGTAGTCATACACCGTCCCGCTGCTTCGCCCGTCTGAGCGACGCCTGGCGTACCGTGTTTGGCGACGAGGCTGAGCTTCCCGACTGGGTGGAGTTGCTTAGGCAGAGGGTAGATATATATGCTCTTGACTATGATGCTATTCTCACTGCCATGTATGCATTGCCTACTAGTACTGACCGTGCCGGTCACCTGTGCGTCCCGCCTGACCCAGGTATAGGACCTGCTGCTCTAGCTACTGGTGAGGCTGCTGCTCTGGGTGCTAGTGAGTCTCCTGCTCCAGGTACAGGTACGGCTGCTGCTCTAGGTGCTAGTGAGTCTGCTTCCTCAGGTGCGGGTGAGGCTGCGCTCTCAGGTACCGCGTTGGCTTCGGCCTCCCTCACCTTTACACTTGACTCTGGGGCTTCTCGCTCCTTCTTTCGGGACCGCACCACACTCACGCCGCTTGGTCGGCCGGTTGCAGTCTCCCTGGCTGACCCCTCTGGGGGTCCTGTCCTCGCTCACTTCTCCACTGTCCTCCCGTGTCCGGCTGCCCCCTCGGGCACCCTGTCTGGCCTGTACCTCCCCTCGTTCTCGACGAACTTGGTGAGTGGTGCAGACCTACAGGATGCGGGGGTTCACCAGTTCACTCCTGCGAGTCAGCGGGTGACCCACTGCACGGACGCACGCACAGGCCGGCACCTGGCCACGTTCTCGCGTCGGCCGGGGTCGAGCCTCTACACCCTGACCACTGAGTCTCCTCCTGTCCCCGCGTCCGGTCAGGTAGCAGCGTCGGGTCAGGTGTTTGCTGCTGCGTCCAGGTCTGGTCCTGAGTCTGCCCCCTGTACTTGTCGCCTCCTGTCTCACGAGACTCTCCTGTGGCACCACCGTCTTGGCCACCCCTCCTTGCCCCGTCTTCGGAGCATGGCTTCCCGTGTCCTTGTCTCTGGTCTTCCCCAGTCTCTCCCTCCTCTCCCCTCCGGGCCAGGACCTTCCTGTGTCCCTTGTGTCGAGGGTCGCCTCCGGGCTACTCCTCACTCCTCCCACTTCCCCCCGACAGAGGCTCCCCTGCAGACGCTTCACATGGATGTGTGGGGCCCAGCCCCCGTCCGTGGGCAGGGTTACGAGCGCTACTTCCTGTTGGTGGTTGACGACTACTCGCGTTACACCACAGTCTTCCCCTTGCGCAGCAAGGGTGAGGTCACTGTGGTGCTGATCGACTGGATCCGCGAGGCTCGTCTCCAGCTCAGGAAGAGCTTCGGCTCGGACTTTCCTGTTCTGCGTCTGCACTCTGACAGAGGCGGAGACTTCTCTTCCCGCCTTCTGCGAGACTACTGTCGTGCACGGGGGATCCGCCAGACCTTCACGCTTCCGGACTCACCACAGCAAAATGGGATTGCTGAGCGCCGCATTGGCATGGTCATGGATGTCGCTCGTACGTCCATGATGCATGCGGCTGCCCCCCATTTTCTGTGGCCGTTTGCGGTGAGGTACGCGGCGCATCAGCTCAACCTTCACCCCCGGGTCTCTCGGCCTGCGATGTCCCCAGTCTTGCTGTGGACGGGGAAGGTTGGCGATGCGTCTGTGTTCCGTGTCTGGGGATCTCGGGCGTTTGTCCGCGACTTGTCTGCGGACAAGCTGTCCCCTCGTGCTGCTCCCTGTGTCTTCCTTGGCTTCCCCACTGACGCCCCAGGGTGGCAGTTTTACCACCCCTCCTCTCGTCGTGTTCTGTCCTCCCAGGACGTCACGTTCGATGAGTCAGTCCCCTTCTACCGTCTCTTCCCCTACCGCACTCCTTCCCTCCCCCCTCCCCCGGACTTCCTTGTGCCGGTTCCCCCCCCGGTAGACCCCCTCCCCCCTCAGGTTCCTGCCCCCTCAGGTGTGTCCCAGGTAGACGCCGTTGACCCGGTCGAGGTTACTGGTGACTCTGGTGCTGCTGCGGGTGCTGAGCCTGGGGGTGCTGACTCTGGGGGTACTGTGCGCGGGGGTGCTGAGCCTGGGGGTGCTACTGCTGGGGGTGCTGGGCCTGAGGGTGCTACTGCGGTGGGTGCGGAGCCTGGGGGTGCTGAGCCGGGGGGTGCTGTGCCTGGAGGTACTGGGTCTGGGGGTGCTGGGTCGGGAGCTGCTGAGCCTGGGGGTGCTGAGCTGGGAGCTGCTGAGCCTGGGGGTGCTGCGTCTGGAGCTGCTGAACCTGGGGTTTCTCCTGCTGCTGCGTCTCGCCGGGAGCCCCTCTCTCCACAGGAGCTGCGCGAGTGGTACGCTCGCCGCTGCAGGCGTGCTGCTGAGTCCTGGAGGTGCTGCTGGAGCTGGAGCTGGAGCTTCTTCGACCGTCGAGGGTGCGGGTGCTGCCGGTCCTGGAGCTGCTGGACCTGCGGGTCCTCCTGGAGCTGGAGGTGCTGAGGGCGTTGGTGCTGAGCCTAGTGCTGTTGGTCCTGCCGCTGGAGGTGTGGGTGGCGCTGGTGCTGTCGCTGAGGGTGCTGGTGCTGTCCCTGCTGCGTCTGGAGCTGCTGAGCCTGGGGTTTCTCCTGCTGCTGCATCTCGCCGGGAGCCCCTCTCTCCACAGGAGCTGCGCGAGTGGTACGCTCGCCGCTGGAGGCGTGCTGCTGAGTCTGGAGGTGCTGCTGGAGCTGGAGCTGGAGCTTCTTCGACCGTCGAGGGTGCGGGTGCTGCCGGTCCCGGAGCTGCTGGACCTGAGGGTCCTCCTGCAGCTGGAGGTGCTGAGGGCGTTGGTGCTGAGCCTACTGCTGTTGGTCCTGCCGCTGGAGGTGTGGGTGGCGCTGGTGCTGTCGCTGAGGGTGCTGGTGCTGTCCCTGCTAAGTCTGGAGCTGCCGCGCGGCCTCGACCGTACTTCGTTCCGCTCCTACAGCAGGTTCTTGGTCTTTCTCCTTCGGTAGAGTGTCCACAGCCTGTCCAGTCGCAGTCACTGTTGGAGCCTTCCTCTCCTCTGCCTGCTCCCTCTCCTTACACTGGTCCTACTGGAGGTCTTGCTGAGCGTCGTGAGCCTGCGTCTCGTCCCGCGTCGCCTGTTCGTGCTGCTCGCGCTAGTGGTCGCGGTTCGCGTCAGCGTCCTCCTCCTGTCCCTGGCACGCACCGGATGTCTCTGCGTCCGTCCACTGCTCCTCTGCGTGCCCCTCTGCCTTCTCCTCCTGAGTCCTCTCTTCCTGCGCTTGCCGACCCTGAGTCAGACTCTCTTCGCGCTGCCAGTCCTACTGTCACGCGTCTGCTTGCTACTGTCGTCACTGACCCCTCTTTTGAGTCCACTGCTGCGTCTGCTCTAGTCGCTGAGCTCGTTGACTTTGCTGCTCGCTGTCGTCTCGACTACGCTGCTGGTCTTGTTGCTGAGTCTGCGTCTGTCTGTCCTCCGTCCGTCGGGGGTGAGTGTGCTCTTGGCACGGACGTCCTAGAGGACAGACAGGAGGAGTTACAGTGTCTAGCGGCTGCTTCACCTCATCTCGCGTCTGTACTACTTGCCCCTGAGGGAGACCCGGATGCATTAGACATCCCGACTCCGCGTTCTTACGCGGAGGCCGTAGAGGGTCCCTACTCCTCTCAGTGGCAGGCAGCTATGGATGCAGAGATGGCTTCCTGGAAGTCCACAGGCACCTACGTTGACGCAGTTCCCCCTCCTGGGGCGAACATCGTCAGTGGCATGTGGATCTTCAGGGTGAAGCGGCCGCCGGGCTCTCCACCTGTCTTCAAGGCGCGGTACGTTGCTCGTGGCTTCAGTCAGCGGCAGGGAGTTGACTACTTTCAGACCTTCTCTCCCACCCCGAAGATGACCACTCTTCGGGTGCTGCTGCACATAGCCGCTCAGCGCGACTACGAGCTTCACTCTCTTGACTTCAGCACTGCGTTCCTGCAGGGTAGCCTGCACGAGGAGATCTGGCTGCGCCGTCCACCTGGCTTCACTGGGACTTTCCCTCCTGGCACCCAGTGGAGCCTCAGACGGCCAGTCTACGGTCTCCGCCAGGCACCGCGTGAGTGGCACGACACACTGAGGACTACGCTTGCGGCTCTTGGGTTTGCTCCTTCTACTGCTGACCCGTCGCTGTTTCTGCGCACCGACACCTCGCTGCCGCCGTTCTACATCCTCGTGTACGTCGACGACTTGGTCTTTGCCACAGCGGACACTGCTGGACTCGCCTACGTGAAGTCCGAGCTGCTGAAGAGACACACGTGCACAGACCTGGGTGAACTGCGCAGCTACCTTGGCTTGCAGATCACTCGGGACAGAGCACGCCGCACCATTACCTTGACTCAGTCACACATGGTGCAGCAGGTCCTTCAGCGCTTCGGCTTCACGTACTCCTCGCCTCAGGCCACTCCTCTACCTACTCGCCACTCACTCTCAGCTCTGCCTTCGGATGAGTCCGTAGAGTCGAGTGGTCCGTATGCAGAGCTTGTTGGCTGCCTCATGTACCTGATGACCTGCACACGACCTGACCTTGCATACCCTCTGAGCATTCTTGCACGCTATGTTGCTCCTGGGAGACACAGACCGGAGCACATGGCTGCAGCGAAGAGGGTATTGCGCTACCTGTGCAGCACGTCGGGCATGGGGCTAGTGCTTGGAGGGCGGAGTCCAGTGGTCCTTACCGGCCACGCGGACGCTTCTTGGGCTGACGACCAGACTACGCAGCGGTCGTCACAGGGTTACACCTTCAGCCTTGGTTCCGGCTCTGTCTCGTGGCGGTCTACTCGCTCGTCTTCGGTTCTCGGCTCCAGTTGTGAGGCTGAGATCTACGCCGGGGCCATGGCTGCACAGGAGCTTCGCTGGCTCACCTACCTGCTGACTGACCTTGGAGAGCCGCCTCGTTCTCCTCCAGTGCTGTACGTAGACAACAAGGCTATGCTGGCCTTGTGTCGAGAGCAGCGCTTGGAGCACAGAACGAAGCACATTGCTCTCCACTACTTCCTTGCTCGTGAGCTGCAGCAGCGTGGTCAGTTGCGACTTGCGTACGTGGCCTCTGAGGCCAACACTGCTGATGTGTTCACCAAGGCACTCGCGCCTTGTGACCATCAGCGCTTTTGCACCCAGCTGGGTCTTGTGCCTGTCTTGCCTCACTTGCTCTCCTCTTGACTTCACTTGTACTGAGACATATATATATGCCTGCTCTTGTTTGTCTAGTTTTATATATATGTCTGTACTCCTGCATGTGAACTGGCCTCTGGCCCTACTCTTGTGCTCGGACTGTGTGGTGACTTTGTGATCCACCCTGAGCTTGCTTTGCTTTGCTTGACTGGTCTTGTGACCCCTTGTTCTCCCCCACTTTGCCTATGGGGGTGTGTCAGATTTATATGACATAGTTGTTGTAGGCTATAGTGGGGTAGCACATATGGGGTACAGGGTTTCTAGGGTTGTATTTGTACCCATCTTTCCTTAGTCATTTTCATCCCTGTTCGTTTATTCTCACACAAAATAGCAAGAGCAAGGGCCTAGTGTGTGCAAAAAATCAAGAACAAAGGCCTAGCGTTCGCGAAATAGCAAGAACAAGGGCCTAACATGTGCAAAATAAAAAAAACAAGGGTCTAGCATGTGCAAAATTGCAAGAACAAGGGCCTAGAGTGTGCAAAATAAAAAGAACAAGGGCATAGCGTGTGCAAAATAGCAAGAACAAGGGCCTAGCATGTGCAAAATACAAGAACAAGGGCCTAGCGTGTGCAAAATAAAAAGAACAAGGGCCTAGCGTGTGCAAAATTGCAAGAACAAGGGCCTAGCGTGTGCAAAATTGCAAGAACAAGAGCCTAGCGAGTGCAAAATAGCAAGACCAAGGGCCTAGCATATGCAAAAAATCAAGAACAAGGGCCTTGTGTTCGCGAAAAAGCAAGAACAAGGGCCTAGCGTGTGCAAAATAAAAAGAACAAGGGCCTAGCGTGTGCAAAATTGCAAGAACAAGGGCCTAGCGTTTGCAAAATTGCAAGAACAAGGGCCTAACGAGTGCAAAATAGCAAGAGCAAGGGCCTAGCATGTGCAAAAAATCAAGAACAAGGGCCTAGCGTTCGCGAAATAGCAAGAACAAGGGCCTAGCGTGTGCAAAATAAAAAGAACAAGGGTCTACCATGTGCAAAATTGCAAGAACAAGGGCCTAGCGTGTGCAAAATAAAAATAACAAGGGCATGGCGTGTGCAAAATAAAAAGAACAAGGGCCTAGCGTGTGCAAAATAGAAAGAACAAGGGCCTAGCTTTTGCAAACTTGCAAGAACAAGGGCATAGCGTGTGCAAAATTGCAAGAACAAGGGCCTAGCGAGTGCAAAATAGCAACAGCAAGGGCCTAGCATGTGCAAAAAATCAAAAACAAGGGCCTAGCGTTCACGAAATAGCAAGAGCAAGGGCCTAGCGTGTGCAAAATAAAAAGAACAAGGGTCTAGCATGTGCAAAATTGCAAGAACAAGGGCCTAGCGTGAGCAAAATAAAAAGAACAAGGGCATAGCGTGTGCAAGATAGCAAGAACAAGGGCCTAGCTTGTGCAAAATAAAAAGAACAAGGGCCTAGCGTGTGCAAAATAGCAAGAACAAGGGCCTAGTGTGTGCAAAATTGCAAGAACAAGGGCCTAGCGTGTGCAAAATTGCAAGAACAAGGGCCTAGCGAGTGCAAAATAGCAAGAGCAAGGGCCTAGCGTGTGCAAAAAATCAAGAACGAGGGCCTAGCGTTCGCGAAATAGCAAGAACAAGGGCCTAACATGTGCAAAATAAAAAGAACAAGGGTCTAGCATGTGCAAAATTGCAAGAACAAGGGCCTAGAGTGTGCAAAATAAAAAGAACAAAGGCATAGCGTGTGCAAAATAACAAGAACAAGGGCCTAGCATGTGCAAAATACAAGAATAAGGGCCTAGCGTGTGCAAAATAAAAAGAACAAGGGCCTAGCGTGTGCAAAATTGCAAGAACAAGGGCCTAGCGAGTGCAAAATAGCAATACCAAGTGCCAAGCGTATGCAAAAAATCAAGAACAAGGGCCTTGTGTTCGCGAAATAGCAAGAACAAGGGCCTAGCGTGTGCAAAATAAAAAGAACAAGGGTCTAGCATGTGCAAAATTGCAAGAACAAGGGCCTAGCGTGTGCAAAATAAAAATAACACGGGCATAGCGTGTGCAAAATAAAAAGAACAAGGGCCTAGCGAGTACAAAATTGCAAGAACAAGGGCCTAGCGTGTGCAAAATAAAAAGAACAAGGGCATAGCGTGTGCAAAATAGCCAGAACAAGGGCCTAGCATGTGCAAAATACAAGAATAAGGGCCTAGCGTGTGCAAAATAAAAAGAACAAGGGCCTAGCATGTGCAAAATTGCAAAAACAAGGGCCTAGCGAGTGCAAAATAGCAATACCAAGTGCCTAGCGTATGCAAAAAATCAAGAACAAGGGCCTTGTGTTCGCGAAATAGTAAGAACAAGGGCCTAGCGTGTGCAAAATAAAAAGAACAAGGGTCTAGCATGTGCAAAATTGCAAGAACAAGGGCATAGCGTGTGCAAAATAAAAATAACACGGGCATAGCGTGTGCAAAATAAAAAGAACAAGGGCCTAGCGTGTACAAAATTGCAAGAACAAAGGCCTAGCGTGTGCAAAATAAAAAGAACAAGGGCCTAGCGTGTGCAAAATTGCAAGAATAAGGGCCTAGCGTGTGCAACATTGCAAGAACAAGGGCCTAGCGAGAGCAAAATAGCTAGAGCAAGGGCCTAGCGTGTGCAAAAAATCAAGAACAAGGGCATAGGGTTCGCGAAATAGCAAGAACAAGGGCCTAGCGTGTGCAAAATAAAAAGAACAGGGGCATGGCGTGTGCAAAATAGCAAGAACAAGGGCCTAGCATGTGCAAAATACAAGAATAAGGGCCTAGCGTGTGCAAAATAAAAAGAACAAGGGCCTAGCGTTTGCAAAATTGCAAGAACAAGGGCCTAGCATGTGCAAAATTGCAAGAACAAGGGCTTAGCGAGTGCAAAATAGCAAGAGCAAGGGCCTAGCGTGTGCAAAAAATCAAGAACAAGGGCCTAGCATTCGCGAAATAGCAAAAACAAGGGCCTAGCGTGTGCAAAAAAAAAAAGAACAAGGGTCTAGCATGTGCAAAACTGCAAGAACAAGGGCCTACCGTGTGCAAAATAAAAAGAACAAGGGCATAGCGTGTGCAAAATAGCAAGAACAAGGGCCTAGCGTGTGCAAAATAAAAAAGAACAATGGCCTAGCGTGTGCAAAATAGCAAGAACAAGGGCCTAGCGTGTGCAAAATTGCAAGAACAAGGGCCTAGCGTGTGCAAAATTGCAAGAACAAGGGCCTAGCGAGTGCAAAATAGCAAGAGCAAGGGCCTAGTGTGTGCAAAAAATCAAGAACAAAGGCCTAGCGTTCGCGAAATAGCAAGAACAAGGGCCTAACATGTGCAAAATAAAAAGAACAAGGGTCTAGCATGTGCAAAATTGCAAGAACAAGGGCCTAGAGTGTGCAAAATAAAAAGAACAAGGGCATAGCGTGTGCAAAATAGCAAGAACAAGGGCCTAGCATGTGCAAAATACAAGAACAAGGGCCTAGCGTGTGCAAAATAGCAAGAACAAGGGCCTAGCGTGTGCAAAATTGCAAGAACAAGGGCCTAGCGTGTGCAAAATTGCAAGAACAAGCGCCTAGCGAGTGCAAAATAGCAAGACCAAGGGCCTAGCATATGCAAAAAATCAAGAACAAGGGCCTTGTGTTCGCGAAAAAGCAAGAACAAGGCCCTAGCGTGTGCAAAATAAAAAGAACAAGGGCCTAGCGTGTGCAAAATTGCAAGAACAAGGGCCTAGCGTGTGCAAAATTGCAAGAACAAGGGCCTAACGAGTGCAAAATAGCAAGAGCAAGGGCCTAGCATGTGCAAAAAATCAAGAACAAGGGCCTAGCTTTCGCGAAATAGCAAGAACAAGGGCCTAGCGTGTGCAAAATAAAAAGAACAAGGGTCTACCATGTGCAAAATTGCAAGAACAAGGGCCTAGCGTGTGCAAAATAAAAAGAACAAGGGCATGGCGTGTGCAAAATAAAGAGAACAAGGGCCTAGCGTGTGCAAAATAGAAAGAACAAGGGCCTAGCTTTTGCAAACTTGCAAGAACAAGGGCATAGCGTGTGCAAAATTGCAAGAACAAGGGCCTAGCGAGTGCAAAATAGCAACAGCAAGGGCCTAGCATGTGCAAAAAATCAAGAACAAGGGCCTAGCGTTCACGAAATAGCAAGAGCAAAGGCCTAGCGTGTGCAAAATAAAAAGAACAAGGGTCTAGCATGTGCAAAATTGCAAGAACAAGGGCCTAGCGTGAGCAAAATAAAAAGAACAAGGGCATAGCGTGTGCAAGATAGCAAGAACAAGGGCCTAGCTTGTGCAAAATAAAAAGAACAAGGGCCTAGCGTGTGCAAAATAAAAAGAAGAAGGGCCTAGCATGTGCAAAATTGCAAGAACAAGGGCCTAACGTGTGCAAAATTACAAGAACAAGGGCCTAACGAGTGCAAAATAGCAAGAGCAAGGGCCTAGCATGTGCAAGAAATCAAGAACAAGGGCCTAGCGTTCGCGAATAGCAAGAACAAGGGCCTAGCGTGTGCAAAATAAAAAGAACAAGGGTCTAGCATGTGCAAAATTGCAAGAACAAGGGCCTAGCGTGTGCAAAATAAAAAGAACAAGGGCATAGCGTGTGCAAACTAAAAAGAACAAGGACCTAGCGTGTGCAAAATTGCAAGAACAAAGGCCTAACGTGTGCAAAATTGCAAGAACAAGGGCCTAGCGAGTGCAAAATAGCAACAGCAAGGGCCTATCGTGTGCAAAAAATCAAGAACAAGGGCCTAGCGTTTGCGAAATAGCAAGAACAAGGGCCTAGAGTGTGCAAAATAAAAAGAACTAGGGTCTAGCATGTGCAAAATTGCAAGAGCAAGGGCCTAGCATGTGCAAAATAAAAAGAACAAGGGCGTAGCATGTGCAAAATAAAAAGAACAAGGGCATAGCGTGTGCAAAATAAAAAGAACAAGGGCCTAGCGTGTGCAAAATAAAAAGAACAAGGGCCTAGCGTGTGCAAAATTGCAAGAACAAGGGCCTAGCGTGTGCAAAATTGCAAGAACAAGGGCCGTAGTGAGTGCAAAATAGCAAGAGCAAG